AAGGCAGGAAGGCAGAAAGGAAGGTAGGAAGGAAGAGAGAAAAGGAAGGAAGGAAGGAAGGAAGGGGCGGGCAGCAGTAAGTTTACCTTATTTTAGCCCACTGTAGGAAGCACAGCCCCCAGAATTCCCTCTTCAGAAGACTGACGCTTCTTGCTGGGAGGGCTTGGACTTGCCACACCTTCTTCTGGGCATCTTCTTTCACCTGCTCCTCTGGGGCTCAGATCCTTGGATGCCAGAATCCCTTCCTTATTTTTGTTGGCATGCGCAATTCCAGGAGGCATGCAGAACAGCCATGGCTGAGTGGCTGCACAGCCTCCAGGCAGACCCAGCTCTTACTGGAGAGTACATAAGGGTTCGACTAACAGTCACTATTCTGAAGGAAGGCCTCCAGGACTTAAAGTGGAGGGCATACAGAGCCCGGGCTGCCACTGTCTGGTAAGACCACCACTCCTAGTGTGTGTGTGGTGTGTGTGTGCGCGCGCACGCGTGTGCGTGTGTGCACGTACACATGTGCGCGCCTGTGCGTGTACATGCGTGCATGCACGCACACATGCCAGTACAAGCGCTTGAACTCAGGACCTAGGCATTGTCCCTGAAAGATGGGGCTCTACCATTGTGTTATCTATGCATTAACACTAGCACTCTGTCACTCGAGCCATGCCTCCACTTCCAGCTTTTTGACGCTTAATTGGCCATAGGAGTCTGGTGGACTTTCTTCCCTGGGCTGACATTGAGTCACAGTTCGCTTGAGTAGCTGGAATTGCTGGTGTGAGCCGCCAGCACCCAGTACCACCACTCCTGATCGAGAAGCAGTGCCTCCTTGGTGTGTGTGTTTTCTATGGGACGGAGACATGAGCGATGCCGTCATCTACAACAAGGCAGCATTAGAAAACATCCCAGAAATGCATGACCTTGTGGTCACTGAGCTCCGCCAGGCATGAAAGAAACTACAGCAGGTCATGGCTGCAGTCCTGTAGCCTGTGTGCTGAGCTGAAGAAATAGCCTGTGCAGACAAGGTCCAGGTCAGGACCCCAGGGCACCAGAGGCCAAGATAGTCAGGTAAGTGTGTGTCAAGTTGATTAGGTACCAGGATGCAGAATGATGCTCAGCAAGAGCTGAATCCATGGAAGGTGCTACCTGGAGCTAGAAGAGCTCTGAAGGCTGACTGGACCCGTGGCGGGGTCATCACACAAACAACCCCTGCAAGCCAGTCACTCTGCGGTCTCCATCTGCACACAGGGTATGCAGCAGTAACCAGAGTGGATGCACATTCAGAGCCAGTCCAGGCAGGAAAGTCTGTGAGACTCTGCCATGGGGCCTGAACTCTGGGCCTGGGCGCTGTCCCTCAGCTTTTCAGCTCAAGGTTAGCACTCTACCACTTGAGTCACAGTGCCACTTCCGGCTTTTTCTGCTTATGTGGTGCTGAAGAATTGAACCCAGGGCCTCATGCATGCAAGGCAAGCACTCTACCACTGAGCCACCTTCCCAGCCCAGTCCATGAGACTCTTATCTCCAATATAACACCAGAAAACCCGAAGTGGCACTGTGGCTCAAGTAGTAGAGCGCTAGCCTTGAGCTGAAGAGCTCAGGGACAGTGCCCCAGTAGTTCAAGCCCCACAACCAAAAAAGAAAAAACAATTTCTAGTCTGATGGGGCTGGGAAGGTGGTTTCGTGGTAGACTGCTTGCCTAGCATGCGTGAAGCCCTGGGTTCTGTTCCTCAGTATCATATACACAGAAAAAATCGGAAGTAACGCTGTGGCTCAAGTGGTAGAGCACTAGCCTTGAGCTAAAGAGCTCAAGGACAGTGCCCAAACCCAGAGTTCAAGCCCTGTGCTGGACAAAAATAAAATTTCTAGTCTGAGCCATGTGCTGGTGGCTCACAACTGTAATCGTGACTGCTCAGGAGGCTGAGATGTGAGGATTGCAGTTTGGAGCCAACTCAGGAAGAAAAGTCCATGAGACTCTTCTAATTAGCCTGCAAAGTCCAAAAGTAGAGCTATGGCCCAAGTGGTAGAGCACCAGCCTTAAGCATAAAATGTAAAGGGCAGCGCTTAGACCTTGAATTCACACCCTAGTACCAGCATACACACTAAGAGTTAACATATTGCTTGATGAAGAAGTCATGACAAGTTTGCTCTCATAAGAAATATATTCCAGGGCTGGGAAGGTGGCTCAGTGGTAGAGCGCTTGCCTTGCATGCATGAGGCCCTGGGTTCGATTCCTCAGCACCACATAAGCAGAAAAAAAAAAGCTGGAAGTGGCGCTGTGGCTCAAGTGGTAGAGCACTAGCTTTGAGCTGAAGAGCTGAGGGACAGCGCCCAGGCCCAGAGTTCAGGCCCCACGACCAGACCAAAAAAAAAAAAAAAAAAGCCCAAAAAAAAGAAAAGAAATATATTCCAGAAACCAAACTTGGAATCTTAGGAATGGGGCATTCTTTAAAACAATTTTTTAAAGATAGTTTAGAACTTTTCGCTAATAAAGTCCATGTGTGGTGGTTTATATTTAAGAAGAGATAAACAGATTGCTGTCTAAACTTCCAAGTCCTGTGGCCCCAGCCCTGTCTGCAGACAGGCAGGCTTCTCATCAGGAAGGCCGGCCGGATGGCTGAAGCCACAAACCACACCCTTTGGGGGCTGGGAAAGAAGGGCCAAGTAAAGCCCAAAGTCAGCCCATCTCTTCAACAACCTGGGAATTTACCCTCCAGAAACCTCTTCTCTGAACTCAGATTCCAAGCTATTTACTATTTATTACAAGAACATAAACCTGCATACCCACATAAAACAGGAGAGGGTGCACCCCGTGGGAGAGAAGAGTACTGACTGCTACAGCGTTGTATGGTTGCAGTAAAGCAAGACCTGCCCTCCTCCTGTCCTGTGAATACTCAGACCGCACAGATAACGCAATGGTAGTACCTGTCACAGTGTGGGAAGAAAATGGATGTTCATTAATTCAAGGGGAGAAAATGCGGTCTGAGGAGTTCTAGCGTTGCTCATCCCTGTGCAGTTTAATATCAGCTTGTTGGGGGATGACCGGAAAAAACAAACACCTGTTTTATACTTGATGAGGGTTAGTGAAAAACTAAGCTGTGAGACCAAAGCCAGGAGCACGTCTCCAGCATACCTACAGCCCCACTTCGTAGGCAAAAGTCTGCCTCCAGGCAGTCAAGACCTTTTTTAAAAGACAGAAGTACCCATTTATTAGGCTCCTGTGTCTGAGTGTGCCAGTCCTAGGGCTTGAGCGTTTTTGCTCAAGACAAGCACACTATCATTTGAGCCACGGCTCTGCTTCCAGCCTTTTGGTGGTTCATTGGAGATCAGAGTCTTGTGGATGGTCCTGCCTGGGCTGACTTCAAACAGTGATCCCCAGATCTCCACCTTCTGAGTAGCCAGGAGAAAAGGTGTGAGCCACTGGTACCTGGCTTTATTAGGTTCTTAGTAAGAAATTCAGAACACCAACTTATTCTTGCATACTTCGATTTGTTAGAGCAAAACCAGGTTGCACCTAGCCCTGGAGCTGAGAATTAACTTTGATCTTTGGTTAAAACTTGCAGTTCCACAGCTTTCTGCTCCCTGCTCACCCCTGCAGTGCCCTGAGTTTGTCTAGAGTCTCACCTTCCTGGTGTCTGGGCTTCCACAGCAGCTGCTGTGGAAATAACTGTGAGGTGTTCAGGAATCTTCACATCACATACCAGTTTCTGCAGAGTACCAGTGGCAGATTCCTGGTGGGCTGTGTGCTGGCCACCTCTCAGTACCACCTGGGAGAAGGGATTCAGTCACTAGCAGCAAACTGCTGCTCAGATGCTTCTAGAAGCGTGCACACACACACCAGCACTAGGGCTTGTGCTCGGGGGCCTTTTGTGCTTGCTTGGCTTTTTTGCTCATGGCTGGTGCTGAACTACTTAAGCCATGCCTCCAGTTTCTGCTTTTTGCTGGTTAGTTGGGAATAGAGTCTCTCAGATTTGTCTGTCCAAACTGACTTTGAACTTTGATCCTCAAATCTCAGCCTTCTGAATAGCTAGGATTACAGGTGTGAGTCACTGGTGTTCAGCTATGAAAGGTTTGAGAGTTTTCCTGTGGTTACTGCCAACTTGCCTTCCCTTTCCTCCTTTTCTCTTACCCATACTTGCCCCCACCAACTTCCTATGGTCTTATTTGTCTTTATTCCACCCTGCTTTTGTCTTCTGCAGCCAAGGTTTTGGACAGATGATTTTAAGGGTGCCTGTGAGCTGGCTCTCAACTTCACGTGAGGCCCAGCCCCTCAGTACCTCCCTGGCATTAGTTTGTCTAACATGTTTTGTCTTGCAGTAGCCCCACACTCGGGCAGTGTTCACACCTCTCCTGGTAAGATTGCCATGTCTCACTCTGCCAGTCACTGACCCCAAACAGACCTCGCTGATTCTCTAAGAAATACCTTACGTGCAGCTGTTGAGGCTAGTTACATCAGTATGTGCAGAGAAATCAGACAGGCTGGCTTCCTGGGAATCAACCTAAAACAGAGCTCCTTCTCCGTCTCACAGTAGGAAGGAAGAACAAAGGAGAGTCCGTTTAAGGGACCCAGTTGGGTCTGTTCCAACCCAAACTTCCATGACATCTTCCCAGGTCTTGGGCCTGGTGAAGGTTAGCCCACATCTTTGGTACTAGCTATCCCTCTAGGTACCTAAACCTTCCTCATATCGCTAATTCTCCTTGTTGCAGGGTCTTTCTTCCACCTCTTACCCTCTAAGTCCTTTAGTTTTGATTGTGTGCCAGTTTGAAGATCTCTAAACAGAGTTCATTTTAGGGAGGTGCTCACGCTTTGCCTTGGCCTTGAGTGTACGTGGCACATGCTTTGCTCGGACAGGGCTGGAACTGGTGCAGCAATGGGTCTGTGTGTCAGGGAGGCGGCCTGGGGGCCGGCGGTGCCGGCTCTCCCACCTTGCAGCACCCGGTTGCCCCAGCTCCTCTCTGGCTGCCTGTGTGTGAGGTCCTCTTCTCCTTACTCTCGTTCTGGACCGTTTCAGAGGAGGCAGACCACTACAGCTTCGGGGCAGGCACGCTGTCGCGGAAGAAGAGAGTGCTGGTGACTCTGCGGGACGAGGGTCTCCGCCGGCGCGCCCACCTGGACATCGGCATGCCACATGACTTCCGCCCGGTGTCCTCCATCATCGACGTGGACATCCTCCCCGAGACTCACCGCCGGGTGCGCCTCTACAGACACGGCTGCGAGAAGCCACTGGGCTTCTACATCCGAGACGGGACCAGTGTGCGGGTAACGCCCCAGGGGCTGGAGAAGGTCCCGGGCATCTTCATTTCCCGCATGGTGCCCGGGGGCCTGGCGGAGAGCACCGGGCTCCTCGCTGTGAATGACGAGGTGCTGGAGGTCAACGGGATCGAGGTGGCCGGGAAGACGCTGGATCAGGTCACAGACATGATGATTGCCAACAGCCACAACCTCATCGTCACCGTCAAGCCTGCCAACCAGAGGAACAACGTGGTCCGCAGCAGCCGCACGTCGGGCAGCTCTGGCCAGTCCACGGACAGCACCGCCAGCCACCACAGCCTGCAGGCCGCCCACGTCCTGCAGAACTTCCACCTGGAGGAGATGGAAAGTGATGAGGAAGCCGACATTGTCATCGAAGGGGCTCTGGAGTCTCAACACGTCCCCAAGGCTCAGGGCCTCGTGCGGGCCAATGGCGCGGGGCTGGCCCACAGTCTGCAGCGGGACCTGGGCCTGCACAACTCCGGGAGGGAGAGCAATGGCAGCATTCACAAACTGCTCAGCTCCCTGAAGCCAGACCCTCGCCACACACTGGTCCTCCCACAAGGAGGGGTAGAGGAGCACGGGCCGGCCGTCACGCTGTAGGAGCCGGCCCCCGGCCTTGGACGGGCGGACGTCCCAGACCGGGTTGCCTCAGACCTGTGGTTGAGGGGAGCTGGCGACACTCAGATACACAGGGATTTCAGCAGTAAGTTTTCAAAGGGAAGTCTTTCAAATGTTACCAATTTTTAAATAATTGTGTACGTTGCCCCCTCATTCCCACAGCCTTATTTCAGCTTTTAGACAGGAACTGAAAATACCGTATTTTTATAGGATTTCTCCAAAGAATCTAAAATGCACAAACATGCACAAGCCTAAGTGCATGCCCCAGAAAGGCAGAAAGTATTTTTAAACTATAAAAATTAATGCTTTTAAACTTGTGTGAAAATACCATGCTGCTGGAGCTCTGCTGACCTCAGCACGGCTTGGACAAGACAGACTTTCTGAGGGCAGACGCGGCCTTGCCGGGACAGGCGAGGCCACAGCAGGAGGACTCGATGCTCAGAAAAGCCACTGGGCATCCATCGAGAATCGCCGGTGGCCCAGCACCCGCCTGCGGCTGCAGCGCCATCCTACCACTATACCCTCACGCAGCCATCTCCAGTGAAGGAAGCCAGGGCCACTGCTCGCTGGAAGCGTGATTAAAAACCAGTGTCTACTCTGAAGCTGTCCAGTTGTCCTTGGGTCAGCTGGCTCTGGGGCACTTTTTAAGCCAAAATGAGAGAGGACACTGTGAAGCCTCTGTGTTCACTCATGTGGATGTATGCTTTGTTATCTTACTTTTAGAACATCTAGTTCTTTTTAAAAGTCACTGCTATGCTACGCTCACTTCCATTCCTAGCATAGTGCTCAGTGGGCATGAGTTCTTTGAACTATAAAGTCACATGGAACTTGATAGATTTGACAGACGTTAGATTCATTGTCATTTTTATTTGACCTTTGAAGTTTATTCTTGACTCAACTAGCTGTCAGTGTGTTTTCCTCCTGAATACAATGTCAGGAAGAAAATGTCACATTAATTCTTTGAGAACAAACTAGCTGAAAGAATCCTTGGTGTAAATACAGGTAAGAGTATTTTCCAGGTTTTTCTGGCAGGTAGACCTACCTGTTGCTCTTATGGTCCAGCACCACCTGCTGGCCAGCAGCAGAAATGCCCTGCTCTCATGTCAGCCATAAACTGCACATCTCATCATTTGTCTTCATTAAGTAAAAAGAACATGATTTTCCTTTTATTGATCAGAAGTAGCTTTTGCTGAAAAGTGTTTCCTGGGCCTGGGTCTGAGTTCCATTAGCGTACTAAGGATTCTTGACTGCTTGTTCATGGGAACAAGATGCTCCCTATGAAGTCTCAGTATGGGTCCAGACCTCCAAATGCATGGTCTTTGAAGCACTTCAAAAGCACAGCATTTGTTCTTGGGACAGTTATAAGCAAGTTTTTTACTAAGTAAACAAGCATTACATAATTTGAACTCTTGACATTCACCTACTATTAGAAATGTTCCAATATAAATTATTGCTGGTTGAATATGTTTTATTAAACTGGGTTTGCTACCAAGACAAAAAGTTACATTTCTTACCATGTTTTAAGTTGTTCAGCAACTGTGAATCTTTTTTTAAGGAGAAAAAGAGGCTTTATATGCTGTTGCTTTAATTGTAGGAATTGTGAGCTGCTTGGAGTGGCTGCTTGAGTGTATTTTTCTACCAAGATTTATAATGATCTGCCATTTTCTCATTTAAAAAATGTCAATATATATTAAAGTTTCTTTGGTTTTATATGTCAGAGAATAAAGACTTTTTTGCCTTTGAGTTAACAAAATGCAATGCTGATATATTTCAGTTGTGTTTTGAATAAGGGTAGAGTGTTTATATCAATGGCAGAAAAAAAAAACTCAGAAAACACTGAATCCTATTTTTCAAGATATGTACCATATTTATCATGTATACTCACACATTGGTTGAGGTGTTCATTGTTACCATTTTACAGTTGAAAAACTGGATCCAAGCTCAGATTGATAGGTCCTCCTGGAAAATCTTTTTCTATTGTAGAGTCCTCTGTAAATACAATCTGGTTTGCAAAGTTTCCACTAACATTCTGTTTTATGTGTGGTGTGCCAGTCCTGGGACATGAGCTCAGGGCCTGGGCGCTGTCCCTGAGCTTTTTTGCTCAAGGCTAGCTCTCTACCACTTGAGCCACAGCTCCACTTCCAGATTTTTTTTTTAAAATTCAGTGGCTAGCTAAAGTACATGTTCATCTAATGGTTCTATGGGTTTTATTAAAAATGGATTTCTGCTGGCTACCTAAAACCATTACCATTTGAAAGCATCCAAAACTAAGCAGAAACAATGCACTGCAGCAATGCACTGTTTAGATAATAGACATAATGGAGCTGGTCTAAAGCTTACAGCAAGGACAGCACGTAAGGACATGCGCTTCCCACAGCACAATGCTCCTCAGTGAGTAAGATGAACCCAGAAAAACAAAGACATAATCCTAGCCAATCAGGATTCTGAGAATCATTCTAGAGCCAGCCTCGTCAGACAAGCCCGTGTGATACTTTTGCCTCCAGTTAACCAGCAAAAAGCCAGACATGGGGGTGTGGCTCAAGTAGTAGAATGCTAGTTGTGAAAGAAAAAAGCCAAACAAGAGGGAGAGGCCCTGAGTTCAAACTCCAGTACCATCATACACACACATCACTACCACCCCCAAAAAAATATACAGCAATAACACATGGTACCAACGGGGCGTTCAAATCCCACCTCAGGATCGTTCTAGCTTAACAAGTTATTCAACCTCTCATATCTCAATTTCCTATGTGAAATAAAAGGCAGGCATGCTGAAGACAATGGCGTTCAGAATAAGCAACCATGGTGACATTACTCAGCTTACTTCCTAACAGAGAGTTAGCAGCTGGTAAATGTTTCTAGTAAGACCTTAAGACTTAAGTGTTCGTCAGTTACTTTCAAGTTTATTTGTATTGACAACTCCACTTACAGGCTTTCGGAACTTCAGTTTTCATCAATTTTGATCTATACTCCTAAAAATGTAGTAATGAGCAACTATTTAACATCAACATATGGCATCGAGTGCCTTCCTCAGAGTGGTACTCAGGGCTTTGCCCCAACTAGGGGCACTTAATGGTGAGTTTTTGATGGGCACAACTGGAACACCCTAGTGCACAAATACAGGCGCAGCCTAAACCTATCTGTCCCAGGACCTTGGGGGTAGGAGGTTGAGGTCTAAGGTGCACAACAAAGGACAGGCCAGATGGCAGCCTGCCCTTGCTGGCACCTAAAAAATGAGTCTGGCCATGTCAAAACTAGTAGCACACAACCACTGTAGAGCATGAAACTGGCATCCAATTCGTCTTCTTGGTACCTTAGGGGCTACAATTATTAAAGCATCAGGAACCTCTGGCCATGCTACAGCCCTACGGTATAAAGGCCACACACTGAAATTGAGGGGAAAACTGAGCCAGCCAGTCATACGCATCTATATCATCTCAGCACTTGAGAGTTGAATCTGAAACAGCCTGTGCTACATAGTAAATCTCAGGACAGCCTGAACTATACTGAAAAGTCTCATGTAAAAAAAAAGTGAAGGGGGTAAGATTGTTTCATTGTAGGTATGTGTGAAAATATAACCTTGGAATTCCCCTCTGTATCATTAATGTAAGCTAATTTTAAAAGTCATTAATTTTTAAAAAGAACTGGTGAAAAAAAGGAATGAAAACTGGTGTTTAAAGATAAAGTGACTATTATTAGGCAAGGTCATAAGGTGGCTTTGAATCCTGGTGACCCTGCAAAAGATATCACAAGATATCACACAAATACTGGCTCTGGCTGTATGACAACAAGATGCCTTGGGACTCTTCTAGCAAGAAGCTATCACCGAAGATAGCCCCTGCATCTTAGACTACTAGAAAGCCAAAAAGACTTATCTTCCATAAAATTGTTCCAATTTTAGCTATTTTGTTACCACAGGGGAGAAAACAAGCCAGGAGATTAACACAAGTCACATCTATTGTTAGCAATCTGCATTACGCTGCTTTATTTTACACGGTGACAAGCCTTCATAACATAAATGTGATTATCTATATCCATATCTAGATTCTGTCAGTCATTATTTTTCTTAGCTGGTGCTGAGGCTTGAACTCAAGGCCTAGGTGCTATTCCTTAGTACTTCCCCATCAAGGCTGGCACTCTACCACTTCAGCTATAGCTCCACTTGTGGCTTTTTGGCAATTTAATTGGTGTTGAGTCTCACAGACTTTCCTGCTTGGACTGGCTTCAATCCTTAATCCTCAGATCTGAAACTCCTAAGTAGCTAGGATCACAGGGATGAGCTACCTGTGCCTAGCTGCTAATTTTTTTTTGTTTTTAATGAGACATGTCTCGCTGTGTTACCTGGGCACTCTTCAAACTCCAGGGTTCGACCGATCCTCTTGCCTCAGCCTCCCAAACCGATGGGGCACAGATCCGTGCCGCCACCCCTGGCTCACAGAAATGTAAAGTGAAAAGAATTAAGCTGTTCTATTTGCAGTGGTGTAATAATTTTTAATTCAAAATAGACACTCTGAAAACAATAGGTAAAATAAAGTCCAACAAGCTCTGAATTTACAACAGAGTACACCAACAGTTACAACTGCCTCGAAATGCACATTACAGCCATCACATGCAAGTGTTGTATTTGTAAAAATACAGCAACACTGTAGCACTTCATAGAAGCTGTCAGACTCTGCACAAGTAGGACAGGCTCCTCTCAGCAGGATGACACTGGTACCAGACAGCGGTCCACATTACTACTTCTGGTGCTTCGTTTTACAGTGTATGGTTAAAGAAGGTTTGGCTTCCATACAATAGTGATATAATGGAGATTCTTCAGCAATACCCTGTGTCTCATTCCTTTGGACACCTAGGCCAGAGGAAAAAGCCTTTTATCCAACTCTATCTACCGTACTATCCCAAGCTACTCCAACCACAAAGATGAGCTCTTGGTTTACACCCCTTCACTCTGTACCTAAATCTCATCTCCATTTCAGGTCATGTCTACAAGCAGTGGCAGGCATGAAATGCTTGAATGTCATGACCCCTCCTTTCTGCTAGTTTATGAGCATTCAAGTAAGAGTTCTGGATGTGTTTTCTTAACTTTTATTCTAAAGGCACTAAAGATTTACTGTCATGTCTTTGAATGGAGAAGTGACTTGTCACTGTATCAATAGAGAATATTTACACTGCAAAGTATTTCTGCTCCTACAAAGATTTTATTTATAAAATAACACTTGATTATAAGCTGTATACCACATATCAGGCTCAGAACATTTGGTTTTCTATGAGTTACCATTTAAAAAAAAAAAACCCTCCACACAGCTTTTTGAGACAAACTTGAAAAAGTGCAAATGAAAATTACAACCTTGTAAGCAAATAGCATTCAGACTCATCAGTAAAAGTTAATGCTTAGAAGTGTGTTCTTAGCCATACACACCACAATGCTCTAAACAGGAACTGTGCTGTTAGTGTTGCCCATAAAGCTGAGGGAGAGCAATGCTGTAATTCTCAATTAATCAAGTATTCTCAAACCAGCAGAAATTTCCTAAAACGAAAATAAAAATAAGTATTTGTAGACTTCAGGTTTTTTAAGATTTGATACTGACACTACTAGGAAAACAAGGCGTGCATGGAATACCAAAAGATTTAGTTTATATGACAGAGGGGGAAAAAGAAAAAGAATAACTGTTACAAATAGAACTTCAGGAAAGAGTAAATCTGGGAACTATTTGCTTCCTTAACAGAAGTCTTTCTGAGCACCTGGAACCCCTGAAGAGCTGCAGACACTGGCACATCAGCAGAGCACAGGAGTGTGTCAAAGTCAGCCAGAACCACTGCCTAGGCCTTCACTTTTTTATAGATTTTGTGGCTCACAATCAAAGTTCAACCTGTGTTTGACATTTTTAAGTTCAGACATATCAAAGCCTAGAAGTACAGAGGGCTTTCGAGTTTTTATTGCTTTCATGCAAATATATCTCCTTTTTCCAAAAAAAGAAGCCACGTCAATTTTCCACACCCACAGCAATGAAGACAAGAGTTCCATTTCTTTTCTGCTAGGATACGGTCTCTTATGGAAATAATCTCTAAGAAACTGTTTCTTGTCCTCATACGAACGGCCTTCATACTTTTTCGGATCTAATGCTAAGACCTGAAGTGCGTCATCGTTGTCTACCTGTCCCTCTGTCCTGCTTTCATTCCTCTGTCTCTTCAAAGGCACAGCACTCACCCCTTTCTCAGGACCTGGAGCTGACTCTGCATTTAGGATGAGTGGAGCCTCCTCCCCATCCCTCTGGTCCTCTGTCCCCACATGGCTGTCTGGCAGTTTTCTCTTTACAGGAAAGGTGGAGTCAGGAATCACTTCCCCATTGACTAACAGCAGTTCACTGCTCTCAATCAAACCCGGCTGGACTTGCAGGTCTGAGCTGCTGTCTTTGGGAGCGCTTCTACAACGCAGCAGATGGACAGCAATGGCTGCCAGAGTCATATTTCCAGTGTAGACCCCGCAGCAGTGGATGCACTTGAAGGCTGGAGACCTGAGCGTTGTATGGACCGTCGGCATGACGTGGTGCCGCTCCTTCAGGTGCAGCTCATAGGCATCGGCCGTTGCAAATGCACCAAAACAGAAGGGGCAGGTCAGCTTCTGTTTGCTGGGAACCTTGGGCAGAACCTCGGGCTGGGGCCTCACCTTCACATACACAGGCACCAAGGACTTGGAGTGTATCCCAGCT